ACCACCTTCCCTTGCTCCCCAAGCAAATAGACGGCACCAACCATGTGGCGCCAATTGACACCCAGCCTTGGGCACCAAGGCACGCCTTGATCGCGGCCTAGTGCTCGGTTGGGCCTGCCAGCCAACCCGCACACACGTACAGCCCAGCCAGCAAGCCTCGCACGTAATGCGGGCTGCTGCGCTGTGTGCTGCTGCTGCTGCTAGCGAGGCCTAACATGCCTTGTTGGCTGCTGGCCTTGCTGGTGCACCTCCCCGCATGCATGCTCGGCCATGCTGGCGAGCCTTTCCCGCATGGCTGCTCGGCCAGCTCGCCCAGCCAGTGCATGCGATGCATGTTGGGCTTGCGGCCAAGCCTTGCCTTGCAGCAAGGAGCCCGGCTAGCCATGCTAGCCTACCTAGCCCTCAATTGGCTAGGCCATATCAAGGCTAGGATTTTCAAGCGCGTTGACTTGTTGTTTGACTTTATTTTCCGTCTCGTCGACTCATAAATTTGACTCGACTTTCGACACTTTAAGCTCGATATCCGACGTCTTAGTTCGTAAAATCTCTATTCACTCATTTAATCCTTCGAATTAATTCGTCACTTCGGTTCAGTTACACGATTGGGTGTGACACGAAGGGTTCAGTCAAGAGCAAGCTGTAATATTAATATTACTGATCAAAAGAGGCCTCCAATTAGGCATTCCAATCACTTGACCTCACTGAATAATTAGTTTTCCTAATTAATTCCGAACCCTCTATCGGAATAATACACTTGTTCGAAGGACATTATTCCTTTCATACACCTACTTCTACCTTAAAATCATTTTGTTTTTATTGGATTGTTTTTCAAGGTTTCTGCAATGCCTTGGCAGAAATGTTATCCATCTTGGGATTTGGATAGGATGCTGAGAAGAAGATGCTACAAGTAGAGAAGGCGGTGTTCGACAAATGGGTGAAGGTATGCAACGTTCTTTGTTTGCTGCCTCTGTAGTCTCTTCTCAGTTTTTTGTTGAACTTAACTTCTCTTATCAGTTTTTTTGCTAACTTGACTTATCTGAATATTACATACTACAAGAAAAAAAACTTTCCTGTTGATTAATTTGGTTTCTTATTTTCATGTTTGTCCAATGTCCAGTTTCTAAACTTTTGATATTTCTCAGTCTATGCTTTGTTTCTAACTGAACACTTGGTTTTTAATATCAATGTTTGTTTGGTGTTTGCCTTGTTTATTTTAATACTGATCGGAGCAACATGCTGATTAGCAACATCATTTCTGAACTTTTGTTATTTTACATAGTAGTTTTGTTTAATGAAACTAGCATTCTGGATTACCTTTTCTATTTTGTGTTATTCTGTTTGTGTTATCCACATCATTTGCCATAATATTTTTCTTTTCTCTCGCTCTATCCTACTTTTACACATTTTGAGTTGTTGCATTTATAGCAGACTCATAAGAAAGCTAAGGGGTTGTTTAGAGTTCCGGAGATGTAAGTGAGTCATTTGTTGATGTTATAGAAGATATGGATCAAAAGAGTGGTGAAGAAGATGATGTGAACTCTGCTCATTCGGACATTTATTCTTTTACAAGTTAATCCGGAGCTTGTGTAGGAATGATGATGATGATATGGTGGCCTCCCTCCATGATGTTTCCAACAATTTTAGGAAGATATTTGAAAATATCAATGTTACAGACTATGGCTAATACATGGTCTAAACTCTAAAGCGAAAGAAAGAGAGCACAGGATGTATGAAAATGTGAACAAGGTTTTGGATGAGGTGATGAAGTTAGATGACACTTCTCCATTCAAAGCTTTAGAGATTGCTACAATGCTCATAACAAAGGAACATAAGCTCCACATCTTCTATCAAGCACTAACTAATTTGAATAATCCTTTTTTTCTTTTTTTTTGAAATGCAAGAATTTCAATGCTTTTATAATCAATAATTTATGTCACTTTGTCTGTATGTAGCATATGACATTTTATGGTAATTAGTGTTGCTCTACATTGCATAATGTGTAGCAAAAATTATCTAAGACAATAACAAAAATAGAAGGAAAACTATTTGTTTCCAAGTTAACTATGTCAAACAAGAGGAAACGGATTGGTTGTAATTTTTTATGTTTTCTTAAAGATATCAAACAACTAGTAAGGGTAATATATGGTATTATAGACACCTGATTGTGTCTCCCCAATGACCAGACCCAGTGATGAGTATCTTTCATGTCTTTGATTTACGAGTTCAGTAAAGAGTTGAAGAGTCTCATGAATTTTCCTTAAGCCTTGATCGTATCCCTAACCTTTCCTAAAATATTTTAATCCAAAATCATTTATTTCGTGTCCTTAAACCTAAAATCATTCATTTCGTGTCAGAACCTTAAAAACGTCCAAACCTGATTATTTTGCTCCATAATCCTGGTCCAATTATTGCTTAGTTTGATGGGGCTTGAAAAGATCTTTCGACGATATATTATAAGCCCAAATCCGACTTAAAACGAATAAGTTATGGCCAAAATACTAAACCGAGCCCAAACTGGACCTAGGTCCTTCCTACCTACGACAATGATCATGTGGAGGGTCCAATACCTTAATCCCAATCCTGAACCAATTAGGATTCATTAGTAACTTCTAGAGTCCTCTAGAAGGTTCTTATCTATCCTTTCCGAAAGATAAAGATTAAAGAGATCGAGATTGAATAAAACTCCTCTTTTTTATAATCCTTGTTTTAATCGAATTCAAATATGTTCAGATATGATTTTTGTATCTCATAATTTTTGTCCAAATCTTGAATGGTTGGATAGCCCTTGAAATTATATTTCCAATGATATATCATAATCCCCATTCCGAGCTATAAAAAAAAAGATATGAATGAAATACCAAACTCTATCAAAATCTAACACTGTCCCACTATTTCGATCATATCTTTTATTCTAAAAAAGATATCAATCTTATTCTAATTGGATTGTAAATTAGACTTCTAGAGCTTTCCAACGATATATTACTTATATTATTTCGATTAATGGATCAAAAGTTATAATAAAAACAAAAACCGCAAAATTGCAGGATCATCGCGCCACGACAAGGCTGTCGCGCCGCGATGGAACCTGTTTTACTTTGATTTGATTTCTGAGTCTTTTCTGATCCTTTGACCCTCTTTTTTTCTTAGGGAAATTCTCAACGGCGACCCCCAACAATTGCTACGCACCAATGGTAACCCCCTTTTTTTGGATTATACAAGATGACCTTAGTTAACAATTTCATCCCACTCATAACCTTATTTCATTAAATATTAACTATGGTTATATTTATATTTTTTAAAAAAAAAAAGAAAAATTGAAAAAATTAACCCCAACCCCCAATCCCCCATTGATTCCGGCCAACCTCTCCTCCTTCTCCTCACTTTCCACCGTTCCGGCCAGCCCACTCCCCAACCACCTCTCCTTTTCTTTTCTTCAATCTTTCTCCTCTTTCATCTCCTACCATGACCGCTGAAAAACTCCATAACCACCACCTTCTCCGTAACCACCACCTCACCAACACCACCTTACCATAACACTACCACCTGACCCAACCCAGAACCTTAATCAGACCCCCCTACCCACTCCACCCAGTCCAGCAGTCCGCCACCCACCGAACCCCGAAACCCCCCACGGTTTGGCAGCCCCACCTAACCCAATTTACGAAACCCAGCTAACCCCTAACTCGAAACGCCATCCCCCCTTCCCAAATCCCAACCCACGTGGTCTGACAGCCCCACCCAACCCAATTTATGAAATCCGTGACGCAATGATCAGCGTTCTTGCTCAGGTTTCAATTTTCACTCACATCTTCATCTGAAAACCAAGTTCAAATTACGTTAATTTTAATCAAAAGCTAACGAATTGAATAGGGGGTAAAGGAAGAGGAAGGGGGAAAGGGGAAGGGGGGAATCGGGGAAGAGGCAAGGTGGAAATAGGGTGGGGATATTTTCGGCGGGGAAAGGGAGTGCTCCAGCAAGGGGTGGGGTACGACGGTCGGAACCTGGGGTTTTCGAGGGTGACGTTGCCTAGTTTGGTGAGGGAAGCGGTTTGGTGCTTTAGGGGAGGGGGTTTAGGCGAGTCGTCGGCGCTATTGGGGATCCTGGTGACCGGAGCCACGGGGCAGGGGTGTCAGGGGCGGCGGGGAAGGTTTGGGTTGGTGGTGGTTTAAATAATTATTTATTTTATTTATTTTTTTCTTTAAAAAATAATTTAACTTTATTTGAAATTGATTTTATTTTATTTTATTTTATGAATAATTTAACCTTAGTTAACCATAGTTAGTTTTTTTTAAAGTAAATAACACTCATTAATTTCTAAATTTCTAAATTAGGGTCATCTTGTATAATCCAAAAAAAGGGAGGTTACCATTGGTGCGTAGCAATTGTTGGGGGTCGCCGTTGAGAATTTCCCTTTTTCTTATAAATAGAGGTCGTATCACCCCGTTTTTAATCATCAACAAGCTTGATCACCAACAATCATCATCTAATCCCTTCTCTAATACTTTCTCTCTCTCTCTCTCTCATGATTCTTTTCTTAGCCTAGCCTAAACACGCACTACTACAAAATATGCCTTAGAGACCTGTTAAAATAGGCATAAGAGACCTCTTCTTTGGAGGTCTCTAGCTCACAGGTCTCTTTAGTTAAGAGACCTGGTCAATAGAACAGGTCTCTTTGGTATTAATAAGAGACCTAAGAAGTGAGACAACAGGTCTCTTTGCGCGTGATTATTTTATATATTTCAAAAAGCAAAGAGACCTGTTACCATGGCCAACAGGTCTCATAGTTGTTATTTAAGAGACCTGTTAGTAACGATAACAGGTCTCTTTGTTATTTTTTTTTTTCCCAAAATCCAATTATATTTTTATTTGTTCCTGTACGTTATATGAGCTATATTTATTCCTGTATGGCACCTGTAAGATATTTGTACCTATATTTTTCACCTGTTATATATATGCACATCATATACAGTACTCCATAATTTTATAATATCCATGGAACATACAATAATAAACAAAAGTTGATAAACACTTTTACAAATATCCATTAATTATAATATAACCTCCAAAAATACTATACAGCAACATCTGCAAAAAAAAATCTAGTATTCCCCAAAAATATAAACCACTCATTTAATTTCCATGCCATCTAAGATAAGCTCCAAAAGTACTATACAAAAAATTCTAAAAATCGTAATACTTTTCCCAAAAGTAATGGACAAACTAAACTCACGCAATGTCTATACCATCTTCATTTCCTTCATTAACATCATCTGGTTCAAGCTCTAGAACATACTTAGCCCACAAGTCTCTAATTTCGTTAATATTTTCAGTTGAATATGTACAGGGGTCCGCTTTAAAAAACTGCAAGATAAACAATAAATCGCCGTATATAGTCATAACTCATTGATAATAATAATGGAAGATAATGTTATATTATAACTATATTTAAAAAAAAATTACTTATACAAACAAATGAATATAATGATATGGGTTGAAATATGCAATGTCATGATTAAAATGAGCCATTTGGGGGTAAATTTTCCCAGTCTTTTGTGAGAACCTGTAAAGCAACAGCTGTACGAACATTCAAAGATTTTAGATATTGAAAAACGAGATGTTTAGATAAGTACCTATATATTATTGTTGTATACAATGTTAACACACACATATACCGAATTAAAAAACTTGATAAGCAATACAAATTTTCATTATCTAGCACATGATCTAAAATCACATTCCAGTTTACTGAATAATGTTTGGATAAGAATACCGAAAAGTCTACAAATAAGGATACTAGCTCCGCGATCTTCTAAAATGATAATAACATGCTAATTAAAGATTCATACTAGTTTTATTTTTGAAATTGGCAGGATGCATACCATTTGTTCTGTATAAGTGATCAATCACATAAAACTAGAATACTAAATGCATCTCTAACTAAAGCACACCCCACATTGAAATCAGAAGGAGAATACTAATTTTGAAAAGCCACATAAGACACAATAAATATAAATCACAATTTAAAAATAATCACCTTTACCACTTTGTATATGATTTATTAAAATAATACATCATCATTCTTAAAATAATCACAATATAATAATGTTTGAACTAAATTCATCTTAATCTGCATGTCTATGGTCAAGGAGCTAGTTCAATGCTTACTAGAGCCAAATAAGAACGACAGACAATAAGACCGAAACAATTGAGGTTTGAGCTTACTAGTGCCAAATAAGGTGCATCAACAGGATGACATGATTGCAATATATCGAAAGTAGTCCATAAATAAAATTATAATGGAGCAAAAAGAGGCGAAAATTACCTGGTTCCTAATTGTAGATTGAGCATAAGCTCAAAGTTTTTATGACCTCTAGTAATTATCTCTCCTTGTTTCTTCTCTAAGTTAATATCTAAGACATACAACATCTGCCAACTTCTTGGACCCTGCATGTGTTCATGTATCCCATTAATCATGTATTCAAGAATGTAAGCCTAATTATATTACCTAAGGAAAAGTACAGCAACAAGATCTAAAAAAAAAATGCTTGGGTGTGTTGTAAATTTCATTGACAACCGAATGCTATCATAGCCAAACACAATCACATCTGACCAAACTAAAATATCAATAAAAAATATTGACATACATGCCAACCATTAGGATTGAGGTCCATTAATGATTCTGAAAATTTTAGTTTCTATGTTAGTGTAGCTTATTGTTCCATCAAAGGATGCATCATATATAGTTCCATCATTGACTAAACTAAATCTGTAGGGCAAAAGATAATTTTCAACCGCAAAATCCTTGAAAATTATAAGCTTACTCATATTATCGAAGGCCATTGTACCAGAGGAAGTGTCTACACTGAGGCAGCTAATACATTAAAATTAACCTCATAGTGTTGAGCAAGCAAGAGTGAATATTTGTATAAACTCTTTTCTTGTATACATTATAGTAATCCCAGACTACGAGTCGATCTTTCTGAAGAAAAAACAAGGGATTGGAAGATAACATTAGAGGCATCAGTGATACAAACTCAACAACAACAATAATCTACCAATAGCCAATTAATCAACATTTAAAATACACCCAATATATCATTCAAATGGAACAATACAAACTCAGCAACAACAATAATCTACCATAGCCAATTAATCAACATTTAAAATACACCCAATTCCCTTTAAAAAAAAAAAATTACACCCAATTCATCATTCAAATGGAATGATAAACCCAGACAAAGATAATCTTAATTAAGTCAACACTTAGCAAAAAACAATAGAGAAAAAAGGGGTTAGATTTCGAATTGTTGTGCTTGAACAACAAGACTATCAAAGCAATTAATCAACATTTAATATCTATTCTGCATCGATTACTTAATTTCCAAAGAGACAATCAATTTGTCGTCCAATTACCTCAATAGTGAAACAAAATTCCAAAAAAATGGACGATCAAACCCAATTTTTTTTTAACAATCAACAATTAAACATAACAAGCATAAACAAACACGATTAAATTATATGCAAGCAAACAAAAACTATAATTTCTTGAAAAAAAAAACCTAAACCCTAGACATTAAGATTCAATTAAAACCCCCAAATTAAGCCCTCCCACCACAAATTACGCAAAGGTTGGTATGTTTGAAAAGGCAAACCAGTAAGCTTCAGCGGCCTCCCTGATCTGGAGGGTGACGACGACGGATTCTAAAAGCAAAGCTCTATTACTTTCGATCTCACGAATTGTGACAATTCTAGGTCTGAAACAATGGGGCTTCCTTCTTTACTCTGCTCGTGGCTGGAGTAGACTTTCGTGCGACTTTGGTGGGCAAGTTCTTCCTTGAAAAGCTTCAATGGAGAATGAAAGTGTAAAACAAAGAGAGAAAGAGGAGATAACAAACGAAGGTGGAAGAGCGGATCAATTAGAGTGAGAAAAGGAGAGAGGTGAAAAATGAAGGGTGGGTGGTGGACCTTTACACAAATAAGAGACCTGTTAGGATAAACAACAGGTCTCTTATTTCTTTTCCATTAACTTCCACAAATGAGTGGTGGGCCCTTTAATATATAAGAGACTGTTATCTCTAATATTAGATCTCTTATACTAAAGAAACCTGTTATATTAATCAACACGTCTCATATTATAGGTCTCTTCGCCTATTTTTGTAGTAGTGACGTCCTAATACATCCTTGATACTTTTCCCAATCACACATCATACTTCCTTCACGAGCCTCGAATACTCCTAGCCAATCTCGTAGTTGCCTTCGACCTTGACGTGAAAGGTTGATAGTTCTAAGGGTTTGGTCCCAACTCTATATTTCAATTAATATTTGATTTAATCTTTCTTAAAGTTACTAACGTGTGTATTGTTTTGATAGAAAGAAATACGAGGCATCAAAGTAAGTAATCCAATTAATTAATCATTCTTTTGATATAGAAATCATGCTTAGAATATTATTTTAATTCCTAGTATCATGTTCGGATGTTGATTTTGATTTCTAATACCATACTTTCTAGTATCATATTTAGGCTAATGCTTTGATCTTGATTATTTAGTGACGTGCTAGGATTTGTTATTAATCCGTTTAGTATCATACCTAGGATCTTATTATTGATATTTTTGATGATATTATTATGATGATGATTGTTGTGTCAATCATATGTTGCTTGATTATTCATGATTGATTGTTATTGCTTGATCACGCCCTTCTTACAGGTTTAAAGGGAATTTGTACTTGAAATCACGCCTAATAAGATAATTGGTAATTTGAATTTAGGTTAATATGATTTTAATTCAAGTGATCACCAATATTAGATTTATTTGTACATTAATAATCAACCAACGTAGATTAAACAGGTTTATGACTAATTTGATGTATGTATGTCGATCGGAAAGCGCACATGAGGTTGGATTCAATCTCTTTTAGGTTGGATTCGTACCATCATCCCCGAATATCCAGTCATGGTTCTAGACCACTATGGAGTTAGCGATCTCCGTGATCGTGAATGGACTGTAACCTTCACACCCGTGAACGGTTTACAAGTTCCTAAAACTTGTTGGCGACTCTTTTATTTCTAGCTTCCTTCCCTTTGAACGCCACCATGCTTAAATGCATGATCACAGTGGGGTTCAAGGTTGGGTTTGAAAAATTCCCTACAAGTATTACCCTTCCCCTCCCCCCCCCCCAAAAAAAAAAAAAAAATTTGTTTCCAATCCGTTACTTTTACTAATTTGATACCAAACGCCCCCTTAAAGTGTATTAAATCATGTGAAACCTACTTTTTTCAAATACCATGAAATAAGTATGTGTTTAGTATTAAAAAAATGGAAAAAGTATTTTACAATGTCTCGTGCATCAATGTAAAAACTTAAATATCTTTATGATAGGTACGTGTCAAGTTAAGAATTTTATGACATAATTTGTTTAATTTTATATCATTTACAATACTCGTACTATTTTTGGTAGATTATCTTTATAGTATTAATAAATCATTATATGTCAATATAAATCTTTGTATAGACTATGCGTGGCACGAAATCTAAACTAGTTAAAGATGTTAAGTCAAAGTATAACTCCTTACACTTGAAGTTAGGGATGGCAATGGGTAGGGTCTAGTGATACCCGTACCCGGAACTTTCAATCCATACCCATACCTTACCCAGACCCTTAGGGTCTAAAGTTTTAAGACCCTTACTCGAACCCTATGTGTCTAGCAGGTTTTGGGTAGGGTCCTAGGTCCAATATGGGTCCTTCACTAACCTTTTTTTCCCAAATTTCAATCGACTATTTTATATTGTACAATTGCATGTATTGCGCAAAAAAAAAATAAAGTAATACATAAGAACATGACCGATTAATTAGACATATCGTAAAACAATTTAAATAAATAAAAAAAAATATATTAGAATGATAGATAAACAAATTATTATTATCCATAAGCACATTACAATTATAGTTTTGTAAAAGTAAGTGCACGACTAGAAAGTTAATAGCCTACTATTTATAATCGTCTTTCGTATCATACTCGATTTCATCATTAACTTCCTACAAAATCAACATCCTTAAGATTTTTTTTCTATTTGATTTTGAAACTTTGTCTAAGTTAATATATTATGCGGGTCTGGGTAGGGTATGGGTCTCAAGGGTCCATGGGTAGGGTCTGGGTCTAAAAACATCATACTCGGACCCTTACCCTACCCGATGTCGCCTAAACCCATACCCTACCCATACCCATAGGGTCCGTGGTAGGGTCCCGGACCCATTGCCATCCCTACTTGAAGTGCGAAGATCATTATGAAATGGAAAGAGTATAAAAAAACGAAAGGATTACTTTAAGGGGTTGTTTGGTAGAACTTGAAATGGGTTGGAATGGATTCAGAATCCATTCCATGGTTTTATTTGTTTGGTTGAGCTATTTAAGTATGGAAACTCATACCTGGGGAATTCTAACTCCATCCCATTTCATTGGAATCTCATACCCACCTCCCCCCTAAGGATTCATAATCCATACTACCACTCAAGTATGAGAATCCATTCCATGATTAGACCAAACAACTTTAAATTGGTATGAGATATAGAATCCATACCACCCAATGAGAATTCATACCAATTCATTCCACCTTATCAAACGACTCCTAATTAATTATGTAGTGTTCGGTTTGGGTTGGTTGGTCTGCAGCCCTAGCTTAAACTAAATTAGAAAGATATCGAAGCTTATCACGTGCCCTTCCCCTTCCTGTCTCATTCTCCATTGAGGCGGCTACTCTGCATTCTCCATTCCTCCGTTGAAGCTTTTTCTCTTCCATTCAAGCTTAGGTAAGATGGTTTTTCTTAATCATCGAATTTCATTTTCACATCTACTATTAATCGTTAATTTTATTCAATTCAGGGCTCTTCTAAGGTATATTGATTATTGAACTATTGGCTATAATTGAAATACATAAAGATTATATATTTTGTTCTTCATATTCTTAAGCGAGAAGAATTTAATTTGATAATTGAGTCAAATTTGATTGCTAATGTGTTGCAAAACCCTTGAATGTTAGGACGAAACTATGAAGATGGATGTTTTCTCTCTGCGCTCAGCGCCGCCGCCCCTCTTGCCCTGGCTCAAAGACGGGTCTGAAATGGTGAAATCAAAGAAGATAGTTTCAGTCATGGCTCCTCAACAGACTCAGAGAAATCCTTCTGAAACTGGCTCGGTTGGTTTCATATCAAAAACCCCATTTATTTATTTATTTATTTATTTTTTTGGTTTGGTTTGTTTTGTATTGTGTCATTGTGTGTGTGCGCGTGCAATGATGTAGACGGGATTTTATCTTATGTCTTGAGCACCACCCGATTTTAACCAACTAAGCTTGTCAGCATCCATATTGATCTTATATTGTTCATTTGTGTTGTTATTCATTTTGTCTGAGTCTTCTTTTATTAGAGTGGAGGATTGAATTGATTATTGGTTTTAATTTGGTTATTTAGGTTAAACATGGAATGACAATGACTGAGAAGATTTTGGCTAGGTCTTCTGAGAAGTCTCAGCTAACCCCAGGTGATAATGTGTGGGTTAATGTTGATATTTTGATGACCCATGATGTTTGTGGACCTGGCTCTTTTGGTATCTTCAAGAAGGAATTTGGAAAGAATGCCAAGGTATTACTTTTAATCATAGAAGTATTGATTTTTGGTGATTGTTTATTGATCCTGTTTTCTATCATTATTAAGCCTGTTTTTAATGTGAAAATGTGCATTCATGAGTGAAGACTCAACCAAGTTGTCAAATTGTTTCTATCAGCCTTGCCCAGAGTATATAAAGACTCGATTTTTCTTTGATCCTAGAGAATGAGAGACGTGTGTGAATATATTGAGTACAAGTTTGAAACAATGACAATTACAATAACCTACTTAACTGGAGACTTGGAATCCTTTACATCTCTGGGTTCTGGCAGAAAACATTTATAAGGGTAGTAGTCATCTGTCAAGCCTCTCTTGTACATACCTAGGTCAAGTTCTGTGATTTGATGTCCTAGTATCCTCAACAGTTTTTGTTCAAGAAGATTGTGCTGTCCATGTGGTCTCTAGTGGAATCTGCTGCTGTCACGTTATGTACCATGTTAGTGCACCTCATCTTTAAAGGGAAGAAAAGGAAACAATATGACCCTCACCACATTGTATTATAAGACAATAGAAAGCAAATATTTGATCCCAGAGGGCTAAATTCTGCCATGCACCAATAATAATAAAACCAATAGAATCACTTTTGATTCTGTGAAATTATTAATTTTGTGTTCCTATGATCTCATTTTCATCTTACTTCTAGTAAATCAATCCCAAATTATAGGATAACTTTTGATGCTTGGCTTTAATATGGATCTTAGACTTGGTATGGATCCAAGTCTTTGATGTGGAAAATTTTAAAGCTAGAACATTTCTAAAGTTATGACTGGGACACTTGTAAAAGAACATTTTTCTTTGGTATTTTCGTATCTCTAAAGAAAATTACTTCGTATTAACTTTCCTATTAAGCCAAAACTAAGTGTCCAAATGTCCATACCTATATGGTCCTAACCCATTTGGAGTGTCAAATATCTGACATGGATAGTTGAGCTGAAATGAGGAGTGTGAGCATCGTAAGGAGAAACTGATCTGAGGCTTGATAGCAGATGCTTCACTCAACATTCACATTTCATCGTTTACACTAAGATATTTTTGCAGGGGTAACTATTTATCTGCGGCACAAAAGAAAGACTGCCTGCTTTAAGATGTTGAACTGCCTACACTAAACTTCCTTATATTCAGCGGTTCAGCCTGTAGTGAACCATACTAAAAAATTTCTCAGCCTTTGGAAATATCATAGTTTATTAATGGCTTTGCATATTTTAGGCAAATTGCATGCAATTATGGAAGTTAGAAAATTTGGTATACTAGTTACTCATTACCAAAGCTTCAGTTTAT